TCCTCAGACCTGATCCTCCTCAGACCTCAGACCTGGTCCTCCTCAGACCTGATCCTCCTCAGACCTCAGACCTGATCCTCCTCAGACCTCAGACCTGGTCCTCCTCAGACCTGATCTTCCTCAGACCTCAGACCTGGTCCTCCTCAGACCTGGTCCTCCTCAGACCTCAGACCTGGTCCTCTCAGTCCAGGTCTAACTGGTGGTCTGTTCTCTGTGCAGGGGGCTTCATCTGTGTGGCTAAAGGAAACCACTGTGGAGCAGCAGAGGAGGAGTACCAGAGGAGTCTGGAGCGAGAGGTGCAGCTGATGGAGGAGGAGGGTCTGTGGAGCCGGGTCTCCTTCAGACAGGTGGACAGGTACATGCTGGACCCCTGGGAGGACGAGGAGACCTACATCAGTGGCAGTTTTTACTTCTACAAGAAGTCCAGCAGTCCTCAAATAAAGCCTTTAAACTAACCTCTTTTCTTTTGACTGATCTTTATTATCTTTGATCCTCAGCTCAAGCCCCGCCCACTCTCACCTGTTCCCTGTCCAGGTGTCTGTGTTTCAGGTGGTCTGCTTAGGTCAGACCCTCTATAAACCAGGACCATGACTTGTCCTTCATGCATGAGACTGAGGACCGGGCCACCACCGTCAGGAGGGGAGGGAGAGCGATTTGCACGTGAGTTCAGCTGGCATCAACAGAGGATACCTGCTGAAGCTCCAAACAGCCTGAATGTGACGTTTCTGCTGCAGTTTCTTCATTTCATCTTTCCACGGACATATAAGCACACTTCCGCTTCATTATGTAACACTGGTGACGCCACAAAAGGGGGCGGAGCCTTTCATCCTGCGAGGACCAGTCTGATCGGGAGGAGGATGAGGTGATGTCTCACTCTGATCGCTTTTCTGGAAACCACTTCTACAAACAAACACACAAACAAGCAAATAAAAACACAATTATTCACATATTTTGACACATTTATAGAACATTTTCCACCAATAATAATTCTGTTAAAAATAATCAGATTTTTCTCTGGTTTTCTGGAACAATCGTCAGTGGCACCTGCAGAATTTTTTTCAAAACTTTTAAAGAAGTAAATGTCATTTCCTGCATTCTGGTGTATTTTAACAGGCTGTTAAACGGATTTTTATTTACAGAAGAAAACACTTGGGAATTTTCTATAAGTCAAATGAAATAAATTTATTTGTTAAACAAGAGAAACACTGGACGAACTAATGTTTTATGGTAAATGTGAGGGTTTAAATGAATTAAATTTTAAATTTGATGGGGACAGTTCCCTTCAAAAATGATTGTCTTTTTATTTAAAAATGTCAAAATACATATTTTAAAGACATTTACAAGGAACAGGCATCACCTCTTCTATGTATGTTAAAATTTTTATTTGTTGATGTTTACTTTTGTGAAGAAAAACTGTGATTATAAAACCACAAAACTGGAAATAAAGTCTAAAACAATCACAATTACAAACTACATCTACTGTAGTGTTATCCCAAATTATTAAGTTATTTTTTTATGATTTTGGTGTGTGAGAGAAAACTGGAGTACCTGGAGAACAGAAAGTTGATCTAGCAACCTTCTTCCTC